TGGGTTCGATTCCTCAGCACCACATAAGCAAAAAAGAAAAAAGCCAGAAGTGGCGCTGTGGCTCAAGTGGTAGAGCACTAGCCTTGAGCTGAAGACCTGAGGGACAGAGCCCAGGCCCAGAGTTCAGGCCCCATGACTGGACCCCCCCCCAAAAAAAAAGCTATAGGCAAGCACCCAGGCCCTGAGTTCAAGACTCAGTACTAGTGCAAAAAAGAAAAGAAGAAAGAAATAATAGATCAGTGGTCTGGTCACTGATGGTGGCACACATTATCTATAATCCTAACTTGAGAGGCTAAGGTAGGATGATTACAAATTTGAGGCCAGCCTGGCAAAATAGTGAGGCTCTATCTCAAAATTAAAAAAATAAGGCTGGGAATGTAGCTCAGTAGTACTGCCCCTGGATTCACAGTGCTCAGCAACAAAATGGAAAGGAAGGGAAGAGGAGGGGAAAGGAGGGGAGGGGAGGGGGAAACATCTGCAGTTCAGTTAGTTTTGGGCTCTCAATATAGGACAGTTTCTGTGAGTGAAAACAGCAATGTTAGCTCCTGGTTACATGGGAAGATTCCTACAAGGCTCCCTATGGCTATAATTTTGCCAGTCCTGGGGCTTGAACTCGGCCTGGGCACTTCCCTGAGCTTCTTTTTGCACTCCACCACTTGACCATAGCATCGCTTCTGGCTTTTTCTGAGTAGTTTAGTGGAGATAAGAGTCTTATGGACTTTCCTTTCCTGGGCTGGCTTCAAATCATGATTCTCACATCTCAGTTTCCTGAGTAGCTAGGATTACAGGCGTGAACCACCAGCACCCAGCTTAAAGAGGAAATTCTTATTTTTACCCTGAGGACTCAGGAGAGAAGAACCCTTGCTAAACTCACTTTTAATTAGGATTGGCTTCTCAGTAAGGCAATAATTCTCAAGATTCAGCATGCATTAGCATAATGTAGAAGAGTATTAAAACTTAGAACAACATGCTCCATCACCAGAGTTTATTATTCAGTAAAACGGTGTGGAGCTTGAGGAATTTACACCTCTAACAAGTCCTCAAGTGACACTGTTATGCTGCAGCAGGTCCCTCAACCCTCCTGGGAGAACCAGTGCGGGAACCCTAGATATCAAATAATGTCTCACCTGAGCAGACAATCAGGACTTACACCTAGAGCCTGTGGTATGGAGGAGAAGTGCCTTGCCTAGGAGCCTAAACATTCCTCTGATTTCATGGCTGTGGGTCTCTTAAGTTACGTTCCTTTTGCTTTCCTTGCCCTCGATTTTGGTAGGATTTTGAGTCAAGGCATACAATGTGAAGACTCTACAGAAAGCTCCCGTCCCTCTAGTGGCAGGCTGAGTGTAGGGACATCCAGCAAAATGCCTATTGATTGTTGCTTAACTTATATTTCTTTATTATTCATGAGGCTGATTCCTCCCCTTCAACTATTAGTCTATGGGGTAAATTTACTGTTCCTGTCCTTAAATCATTTGTGAATTGAATCTTTTACAAAATCTTGTCAGTTACTTTATCCATAAAGCTAATGTATTCTTTCCCTATTCTCTTATTATGCATGTATGTATGTATGTAAAATTATTTAGAAGATATTTGTAATTGTTATACAGTTTGGAAGTCTTTCTTACAGAACTTATTTTTTCAGTTCTCTGATCAAATTTGTGTTTTTTCAGAGATGCTGCTCTTGACCACCTATGTAACACCTTTCTCTCTCTCTCTCTCTCTCTCCTTCCCTCTTCACATATTCTTCAGTTGTAGCTCCGACAATTTATTTTCTATTTTTTCAAGTTCCTAGTTTCTGAATGTGCCTGTTAGGCCATTTTTGTCCTTTTACTTGATTTAAAGTTTCCAAGTTAATAAGCAAAATTGAACATAATCTTCCTTGATAACATTTTGACTAATCTTTGAAGCTTTCAATTTTAATCTTTTTTTTTTTTTGGGTCCGGTCGTGGGGCCTGAACTCTGGGCCTGGGCGCTGTCCCTCAGCTCTTCAGCTCAAGGCTAACGCTCTACCACTTGAGCCACAGCGCCACTTCCGGCTTTTTGCTTATGTGGTGCTGAGGAATCGAACCCAGGGCCTCATGCATGCAAGGCAAATGCTCTACCACTGAGCCACCTTCCCAGCTCCTCAATTTTAATCTTAAAAATAAAAACACAGCTATCCCTTGGTGATTCATGCCCATAATCCTAGCTACATAGGAGCCAGAGATAGGAGGCTCATGTTCAGGGCCAGTCTGGGCAAAACATTAATAAGAATCCCATCTCAGTCAATAAGCTGGGTACGGTGGATTCTGCCTGTTATCCCAGCTGGGTACAAAGTACTAGTAGGTGGATCAAAGTCCAGGCTGTTCTTGATTAAAACAAGAGGCCCTATTTGAAAAAGCAAAGCAAAACAAAACACTAAAACAAAAAGGGATAGAGTGTGGCTCTAGTGGTAGAGTTCCTGACTAGCAACTATGAGGCCATAAGTTCAAACCTCAGTACTACCCTACCCTTAAAACTGTCTTTAGTTGTTCTTTTGGAAGAATCAAATAAGATCTATTCAATACTTCAAATTATTTAAGAATTTTCTAGTTAATTTCATGTTTCCATTGATTTTTCTTGTCTTCCTGTTCTTAAACACACATGCATATATTCCTGAGTGCATTTTTTTAAGTGCTAAGGATTGAACCCAGGGTTTTGTACATGCTAGACAATTGCTCTAGCTCTATACCCATCCTCTTTTTGTTGTTGTTGTTGTTGGTCCTGGAGCTTGAACTCAGGGTCTGGGTGCTATCCCTGGGCTTCTTTGTATTCCAGGCTATCTCTCTACCACATGAGCCACAGCACTGGCTTTTTCTGAATAATTATTAGAGATAAATGTCTCATGGATTTTCCTGCCTGGGCTGGCTTTGAACATGATCCTTAGATCTCAGTCTCCTAAGTAGGTAGGATTATAAATGTGAAATACTGGTGCTTAGCTTCACTCTCTCTGTCTCACTCTCTTTTATGCATTTAAAAAAGTAGATAATGAATTACATTTCTCATTTTCATTTTTACTAATCTTTTCTTTTAATGCAGTTTTGCTGTTATCCAAGCTATTCTGGAACTGCTTGGCTCAAAGGCGCCTCCTACCTTAGACTAGAGTAGGTGGGACGATAGGCATGAACATCACACTCAGCCGTATATATGCATTTAGATAGGTTTCTTTTTAGATGTTAATCCAAAATGATCAGATTCCCTTTCATCGTTATAACACTTTATGCTCACTCACATTTGGCTTATAATTAACTTTGTAGAAAAGCTCCTGAAATTATGAAAATGATTCTTTCAGATTATTATTGGCAGTATAGAGAAATAAAAGGGATCCATAGAAAATGCAGAAAGAAGAAAATATAAGAAGCATAAAAACTGAAGAAAGCTGGGTGCTGGTGGCTCATGCCTGTAATCTTAGCTACTCAGGAGGCTGAGATCTAAGGCTTGCGGTTCAAAGCTACCCCCTGTCTGGAAAGTCCGTGAGACTCTTATCTCTAATTAACCACTAGAAAACCAAAGTGGTGCTGTGGCTCAAGTGTTCAACCACCACTACTGACAAAAAAAAGAAAAGAAAAGAAAGGAAAAAACTACCCACCATTTGTATAAGACTCAATGCCTTAACTTCAAAATATGATTTTGTGATATTCACTAAAGCACATAGAATTGGCACCAGGTTGGTAACCAGAATACCCAGGGGTGTAAGCATCTGGTGTGGAAATAAAAATTACCCAAGGTTGAATGAAATGAATATTCTCTACCTGAGAATATTCAGAGTCTGACATCCCCGGGCCATTGAAGCATATACCTATTTACATTACCACAGCCTTAGAATCCCCACCTTTTCCTGCCCTACTTACCTAGATTCTGCAGCCTTGGAAACTTTCTTTTTAAAATCAGCTCTCTTTTCTTCAGGGATGTCATCTTTGTGTTTCTTTTCTTCATGTTTTGGAGGAGTCAGTGTAGTCTGAAAACATTTTTCACCTTGGAAAGTCAGTGTTATATTTGAGATGGTAACATGTTTTGTGTCCCTTATTTCAGTTTTACTTTTTGTATTTCGTAGACATCCATGTTTCAAGATATTTTCAATTTTTTCCTTAAAGAGAATAAGCAGAAACAAGTCAGGTAATAAAAGCACGTAACAGCAATGGCTTGTTTGTGGAAAAGTATTTCATCCACTCATCACTTAATTTGTATTTACTGAGTGTGGTGGGTACCTGGGTCCAGTAGCAGAAACCCAGAGGTTGCTGTATGCCAATGGAAAGAGGCCAGGCTGGCATTAGAGGGAGGGACTTGGGAATTCAAAGCTGATGGCACATTCAAAAGTTCATCTTGTCATGTATGCAGTGTCACCTCACAGACAATCAGCACTCATTATAGCACTCCTTAAGGTTTTTCCCAAAAGGCCTTGTCCCACCTACTGTCCAATGTGAGGTTGCTGTTAATTGAGAGTGTTTAACTTATAATACTAAAGAGGTTTTACAAAGTCTTAGAACCAGTACTTTAAAAAAAATTATTTTTTTGATCTGTCATGGGGCTTGAACTCTGGGCTTGGGCACTGTCCCTGTGCTCTTCAGCTCAAGGCGAGTGCTCTACCGCTTGAGCCACAGTGCCACTTCCAGTTTTGTAGTCATTGATTGGAAATAAAAGTCTCACAGACTTTCCTTCCTGGGCTGGCTTTAAACCATGATCCTCAGATCTCAGCCTCCTAAGTAGCTAGGATTACAGTTGTGAGCCACTGGCGCCCAGCCCTGTACTTAAAATTTAAAATCTGTCTGTCTCTTAATATCCTGGTTCCTGTCAGTATGCTACCTCTCCCAGTCACTGACTGTATCAGAATGTCTCACTCAGGCCTCAGAGCAATGGCTCAGCCAGTGGGCAAGCCTGTCTCTCTGGGGCTCCTCACCACTGTTCCTTCCTCCTCCTGTTGCCACACCCAGTGCATTCCTTCAATTGCTTCCTTGAACATATTGCAGCAATGTAATCCCATAAAGATAAAGTGTATTTTCTGACAGGAAACTTACTGCATATTTATTATATGCAGTAAGTTTGGAAAGTCCTTTGAGGAGTGAAGAAGTGAAAAGTAGAAAATATTCTTTACAGACATAGCTGCTCCTCTAGCTAGCTAGGTTGAGTCTTTTTCTATTTATTCTTTTTGTGTACTTTGTGTTTACTTTTATGTGCTTTGAGGCCATTTTGAAGTTTTGCTTACAATTTTTTTTTTTAGGTCCGAGGCCAGGACTTGATTTCAGTACCTGACACTTTCATTTATTGGCTAGCCATGCCCCTAGCCTCTGCTGTGTACATTTTTACTGAACATTTTTATTATTATAAACCTCTTCTTTCTGTCATTAGAAATTGTACACAAATACTTGAATTTTTCCTGAATAAAAACTACTTGCTGGACCTTGGTGGCTCATACCTGTAATTTAGCTACTCAGGAGGCTGAGATCTGGAGGATGCAATTTGAAACGGGCCTGGGCAGAAAATTCCCTGAGACTTTTATTTCCAATTAACTAGAAAAATTCAGAGGTAGAGATATGACTCATAGGGTAGAGTAACACCTTTGGATTAGAAAGCCAAGAGAGAGTATGGGGCTGAGTTTAAGTCCTAGTACTGGCACTCTCACCCCCTACCCCTTTACATTAGGAAACAGAATTTGGAAGTAAGACATAAACTATCTGTAATCCTATAGTCTAGAAATAAGCAATATGTGGCTGTTTGTTTGTTTGTTTTGGTCATGGGGCCTGAACTCTGGGCCTGGGCACTGTCCCTCAGCTCTTCAGCTCAAGGCTAACGCTCTATCACTTGAGCCCCAGTGCCACTTCTGGTTTTTTCTGCTTATGTGGTACTGAGGAATTGAATCCAGGGCCTCATGTATGCAAGGCAAGCGCTCTACCACTGAGCCACCTTCCCAGCCCAAAATATAGATCTCTATTTTTGTTTTGTTTTGTTTTTGTTTTTTTGGCAGTTGTGGGGCCTGAACTCTGGGCCTGGGCACTGTCCTTCAGCTCAAGGCTAGTGCTCTACCTCTTTAGCCACAGCACAACTTCCAGCTTTTTCTGCTTATGTGGTGTTGAGGAATCGAACCCAGGGCCTCATGCATGCAAGGCAAGCACTCTACCACTGAGCCACCTTCCCAGCCCTGACAATATGTATTTTTTTCTCTTTGAGCATACATATGAACAAATGTATTTTTATACATTAGAAAATATAGTCTTCATTTTTCACTCAAGTTTATATCATGAACATTTTTCCCATCCAAGAAACATACTTCAACTTTTTAAAAAGATAACTGCAGAGTAATAATTTATTTAACAAATTTCTCCTGTTGCTTGCCAGATACTATGGCAGTACTTCAATAAGCTAACTTAGACTCAAGAATGTTTAATTCTCAGAATTAAACACCCTGTGGCTCTGTGTTTACCTACTTCTGACCTTTTCTAAGGCCAGTCACTTTTTTTATTTTCCAGTTTCCACCCTTACCTTTTCTAATTGAAATTTCATACTAATCTTTCAGGACCTGAGCACTTCTATATCCAGTTCAACCTTAACAATAATCCTGACAGTATATTAATATCCTGATTTTAGAGATGAGCAAACTGTGCTCTCTTGTCAGTTTACTGATTTAGCTATTTATACAACTGATGTTCAAGGTCAAGATTCTATCCCAGGTCTTCTGATCCTAGCTCTCTCTATCACACTGATGGCAGGTTAAGTTCAATGGTAAGAAGGGGTCATGTTTCAGGTGATATCTTACAATTCCTTTAGTACTAGGTTTTAGAAATTGGATCTCATGGTTAACATTGGGTAACTCAGATTAAATTCCATAGCATTTTTATCATCAATGTCAGCTACCTGAGAACTATGATCTTGGCGATTGCTCCAGTGCTTGATTGTTAAAGCATTAAAGTCTTCCATGTTACGTAAGTTCTCCTCTTGTTTTGCCCTTATTATGTCATCATTTTCAAATACCACCGTGACCTCTGAGACATTCATGTTATCAGGAATCTCTGTGCCTTCTGTGGTGTCTACAACTTCTGTGACTTCTGTGACAATTCTTACATCTGGCATTTCTGGGTGCTCACTTTCTGGAATGTCAGTGACATCGGTGACATCAGTGATGTCGGTGGTTTCTGAGAAATCTATGCTCCCTGATACGTGGGAGGGGTCTGTATACGTGTACAGGAAGGGGCTCTGCAGACCCGTGCACGTTGTAATATCCATGATGTCCCCTGAGCCTGTGGCTTCCGTGCTGTTTGTGACTTCAGAGGTGCTGGAGCCTTCTGATACTTTGGGGGCTTTAGCTTTCTCCTGATCCAGGACAGAGATGAGGTCCACCCATTGGGAAAATAAGGCCTCCTGTTTGTTTACAGGGGCACTGAGCTGCAAATAGTAGACACGGCCACTTACTAGCTTTACTTTGAGGCGAAAATTCTTAGTATCATGCACAGAAAGAGTCAAAAACTGCAGAGGGAGAAACCTGCAAACAAATGCAAATGGAACAGTATCAATAGAAATGACAAACATATGAACCACTACTAAATATCCCCACGCTGCTGATCACAAATATGGTATATAACATGTGAACACTGTTATATATTACAGACTGTGATAGACAATTTGCTCCAGGAAAGTTAGAATGAACTTGTGACTTAGAAATTATGTAATCACATAATCACAATTAAAAAAAAAAGAACTTCGGGGAAGGGAGGGAGGGAGGGGATGGTAGGGGGAAAACAATGGAGGGGCTAACAATGTTCAAGAGGAAGTGTACTCATTACCTCACTCATGTAACTGTAACCCTCTGTATAGTATCTTTACAAGAAAAAAAAAAGAAATGACAAACATATAGTCCCTTTGTATTTTGTAGCAGCTTAAAGAGTGAGATTCAGGAAAACAGGCTTGTGTCCCATTTAGGTCTAGGAGGAAACTTCTGAGAGTTCTCTCATCTTAGATATGTGCCAGAGACTCTGATGTACTTAGAAACAAATCAGAACATCAACTCCTTAGCAGAGAAATTGTCATATTAAGTAATCCTAACTAGTCTAGGCTTAGAGAAGTGTCTTGAAAAGATTCTAGAGCAAGTGAGTGGCTGAGAATTCTGATGGATGCTGATAGGAGAGGTAGCTTGCTATTATGATTCTTCAGCTCCTGTTATGTTGCTTTTTCAATTTGTGTTATTATTAGCTAGCTTCTGTTTGACTGCCTTTGTCACAAGCTACTTTCCCACACTTTAATGTTACTATTATTTATAGCAGGGTTCTCCTTTAGAGCAATTTCATCTGTATTTCTGTTTTCAGCTCCACAGGAATAAAGATATTTTCTAAGATATTCTGATGTATGTAGATAGTGCCACTATGGAAAGGGAACCTAAGCATATGTTAACTTTTGGAGATACCGCAGCAAGCAGACATAGTGCTTGACTTAGGCCACTTGAACTCAGGTCCTCACGCATTTGCTCAGCTTTCTTGCACATGGCTGGCACTCTCTTAGTTGAGCCATGCTTCCAGCTTTGAGCTCCACTTTTTGCTAGAGATGGGAATGTTGGAATTTTTCTGAATGGGCTGGCTTTGAACTTCAATCCTCTAGGTCTCAGTGTTCTCAGTAACTAGAATTACAGGAGGAAAGCTATGGGTACCTGGCTCAGAGGGATTTGTGACTCCTCTCTGTGACTCACCTGGTAAGAACCAGCTTTGCTTTAGAGGGAGGTGGTGATGTCAGGAGACTTTTGAAGAAGGGTCCCTTATCTTTTTCAGTACCAGATGTCAGATACGCCAGCAGCATCATGTTGGGGATCTTGTTAGTGGGACTGGAAGAACACATGCCTACGGTCACCCAGTTGGCTCGGTTATGAAGGTAAATGGATTCACCTCTCCTGTTGACCTGAATACAAAACATAGGAAGGAGTTGATGAAGGGCATGGCTTAACATCCTGGCATACCAGAGCAGTGGAAGCGATGCCAGGAAAGAAACGGAGCTTTTTTACTTTTTTACTTGCCTATGTTAACTTTTGGAGATACCACAGTGAGCAGACACAGTGCTTGACTTAGGGAGGTCCACAGGGAAGGCAAACCTAAAACAACTAGAGAGACTATTACTGTCACTAAGTTACAGTTCAAGATGTTGTAGAATAGCTAACAGAGGGTCTGGACTTAACTGAGAAGGTGGGCTAAAGGTAGTAATATTTAAAACATTTAAGTCAGCTCATGGAAGTTGTTTGTTTAAAATATTTACTGATGCCCAGGTGATAGTGGCTCACAGCCTCACTCAGGAGGCTGAGGTCTGAGGAGTGAGGTTCAGAGCCCTGGGCAGGAAAGTCCATGAGAGTCATATCTCCAATTAATTACCAGAAAACTGGAAATGGAGATGTGGCTCAAAGTGGTAGAATGCTAGCCTTGAGGGAAAGAGCTTAGGGATAGCAGCCAGGTCCTGAGTTCAAGCCCCATCACTGCCAAAAAATAAAATAAATTAGTACCATAAAAGATAAGTATGGGCTGGGAATGTGGCTTAGTGGTAGAGTGCTTGCCTAGCATGCATGAAGCCCTGTGTTCAATTCCTCAGCACCACATACACAGCTGGAAGTGGTGTTGTGGCTCAAGTGGTAGAGTATAAGCTTTGAGCAATGAAACTCAGGGACTGCCTAGCCGTGAGTTCAAGCCCAGGACTGGCAAAAAAAAAAAAAAGATGAGTAGCACATATTGTTGAGTATAGACCTTGCAAAACATTTCCAAGACTTGAAGTAATAAAATAGAGTGAAAATTAGGAATTAGGAAGTTTGGCTCTCACTTTTTCTTTTTTTGGTCGGTCGTGGGGCTTGAACTCTGAGCTTGGGTGTTGTCCCTGTGGTCTTCAGCTCAAGATGAGTGCTCTACTGCTTGAGCCACAGCGGCACTTCTTAGACACATTTTTTTTTCTTTTTGGTCCAGTCCTGGGGTCTGAACTCTGAGCCTGGGCGCTGTCCCTCAG